GCCTACAAGCATGTCCTGAAAGAGAAAGGTCCAGATTTAAGGATAATCATGTGAGTTATGTGCTGCTTACTAACAGTTACTTTAATTCTATGCGTTCTTACCAAGATTATGGCTTTGATGTTGTCTCGACCAATACGATACTCAGTTTCTTCAGAACCCAAGACGTCTAACATGACATCAACAAAATCTTTGGTTCTGTTTTCGTCCTTGAACTGAATGTGCTCATCAATAATCTTCTCAAAGAAGTCATCAAAAAGCTTGCCTATGGCCTTCATGCGCTTTGTAAGACCCTGAAGGTCAAGTGGTGCAATTGGAGGGATGTAATCTCCCATGTTAAAACTTGCTGCTAAACGCATGAGTTCATGAGTCACTGGTTTGAACCCCATCTCATCAAATTCTTTTTCCAAGTATTTCTTTCCAAAAACCATCCTACAACTGATGTCAGCGCTTAGAGATGAGATCTTGGAACCAATATCAACAGCAACACGCTCACGAGAAGCATCTTTAATGTAGTCAATCAAGAGGTCAAGCTCTTCTTTCCTCGTGGACATGAAGGAATTTATTTTATGGTTGCTAAGCAACTCAAGGGTACACATCTTGCGCACGTTGCGCCAATAAGAACCATATGGAGCAAATGTTAAGCCCTTCTGCTCGTAAGTGATATGCTTCGCAGCCTCATTTGGTGGCCTGCTAGCAAACACGAGGTCATGGGTCTTAAGAATCAATTCGGCAGCCCGAGGCGATGAGACAACTACAGTAGGCACTAAGCTTAATCGCATATACATGATAGGGCCGTACTTCTTTGCTAGTTGATGCAAGTCATGGTGAGGGAACTTCCCTAGCAAATGTAAGCTACCAAATATAGGAAAACCTATTGGACCAGGGGGTAACTTGCTATCCTTGATCTTTCTTTTCGACAGCCAAGCTCGGAGGAAGAAAGCGAGCGGAATCAAAGCTAGAGTGGTTAATATCCAAGCCATGCTATGTCTAATGTATTAAGGTTGGTCTCTATGCTCTATCTTAGTGAAAGCAAACCTAAATCCAACTCTTGCTTCATATAGAGAAGATGCTAAACATATATATAGTCGTAACTAGGGTGATGATAACAGGAAGAAGACAAACTGGGGATAAGTTCAAAATCTTTGTTTGTATCGCTTCTTGTTTTTTCTTTCGAAGAAAGTGATCAATTGTGAGAAAAGAAATGTAGTGAGATTTTATTTTTGTTTATATGCCCTCTAATGCTAAATTTCATTTAGAAAAGATAATTGTATTTTAATGTATTTGATATATAATTATTTTAATAATTTATATGACTCGGTTAATTTGACAAGTTTAAAAATAACCTAGCAATTCTCAATTAATTCAACCCAATATTAAAAAATAAGATTAAAAAATTAACATAAAAAACAACCTGAGTTAACTCGAGTGAACTCATCAAACTCATAATATGAATTATGATAATATAAATTCTATTGAAAAACAAACTCAAAAAACATAGATTTTAAATAAATAAAAAAAATTAGTAAAAAAATATTATAATAAATCATGTTTTGATAGAAATAATATAATGGCTTTTTATTTAGCTTTTCTCTTAAAAACTAGAAGACACAAGGAGTCTATATATATATATATATATATATAGAG